TTTATGTACATTTATTACATTTTTTCCTGTGTTATTTGTATTTCCATTCATTTTATTATTAATTTTGATATTTCATTTATGGAAAAATGTCATAACTGAGATTAATATAAAAATAAGATCATATAAATTAAAGTTTAGCAGTAGTTAAATTTCATAAGATGATACTGTTACTTGTAGGTACCCTTCTCAGTTGAAATTGAAAACTCAAATTAAATTCTCCATACGTGTTTCGCAAAAGTAAAGGGCTTAACAGCGGAGAACAATGCTGAACTCAAATAATGCAACTAAATTGTATTCTGGTTGGTCTTCCGTACTTGATAATTACTGTCCGACTATAAACACAAAAATTACATTTCTTAATTACCATGGCTAATCTGATTGGTCCAAATTATACAATTTTCAAAGTGCTAGACAATGACAATCTCACACGGACATTTTGAAAGGTTGATGTTGCATTTAACTAATGTTAAAATATTTTTTAAAATTCAATTTAAAAATTTTTTAAAAAATCTTTTTAAAATTAAAGAAATAAGAAATAATTGTATTAAAAAATTCAATTTTCATTAAAAAATTTTTTGCTTTCAGAAAATATTGTCCATATTCATAAAAAACAAATTAAAAAAAATAAAAGCATTTGAAACTAAATAATATATTTGTTTTATTGAGTTTTGTATGTTACAATTCACAGCTGATTTTCAGGCACGTTGGCCAAAAAAAAAAAAAAAAAAACATGATTTGCATTCTTCAAAGCCTTGTGCTTTTAACTATTGTAATCACTAAAACCGATGGTCTCGAATTTCTAGAGTTTTTCATAAAATTAGTTATGGGGGTGATAATAAATATAAAAAAAAATTTCTGCCATGACTTTAATAAAAAAAAAATAATTTATAATAATTTCGATCATCTGTGAATAGTTTCTGAAAGTTTCATTAACATCTGACAATTATTTTTATTTTTGCAAGATTTTCCAAATTAATGTGTGTAAATAAAAAAAAACGCTAAAAATTATCTATGTTATTTACTACCCCTTGTTGATACAAAGAGAAACAAGGTTTTTTTTTAATCAAAATTTAGAATATTCTAAAAAAGATGGAAAAATTTTAAAAAATAATTAAAAAAAATTAGTCTATCCTCTTCATAAAAAACATAAGCATTTTGACGATAAAATTTTGTTTTCATAAACTTTTGGCGTCTTTTTTTCATCAGACTATGCTCTATGTTTTAGCGATTCCGTGGAGTGACTTAGGTTAAAAAAAATTCCCAGGTTGTTTGTGTGTGTGTGTTTTTTATATATGGGATCGGATTTCTTACATTTTTCAGCCGATAAAACAAACATCCACTTTTTTTTTTTTTTTTAGTGTTTCTTATTGTCTTGCACACTTTTTTTTTTTTATTTATACATTCAGAATGCTTTAAAAATTCCATTTACAAGACAATTGTTTATAATAAAATTCTAATTCTATTCAATCGGGGACTCATCATAACGATTGAAAAACAATGTTTTTGTTTGAGTTTGGGTTTGACCAATTTGTAAAAAAAAAATAAGACATGCGTGTCCGTCAACCTAAACAATAATCTAATGATCTCTACTGATTGTAATGAATCGAAAAATCGGATAATTCTTTATCTTTTAGGGAAAGATAATTCCACGTACTTTAGGGCCGTTTTACAATTCCCTTTGCAATTTGTTACAAGGTAGATCAATAAGGCATTGGTTCTATTTGAAATTAATTCAATATTTAAAAGAAAGTATTAAGAAATAATTTAAAAATGCCGACGAAGAAATCTGATAGAAAAAGTAATATGTAATAAAATTAATAAACCCAAATAAAGTTAATATTTTTTGTATTAGAAACAACGAGTGGAAAATATATTCAAATCAGAATTTAATTATGAATCACCACAAAGCAAAATATGCAAATTTTTTTTACTGTATTCAATAAGTAAAAATCATAAATTGTAAAGATTACAAAAGAAAGGCTACCTACATTTTTCAAACCGATTTCAACAAAACTTCACTTTTTTTTTGGCAGGTAGTGTTTTATTGTCTTGCACACTTTTTTTTTTTTTTTAATGCTTTAAAAATTCCATTTACAAGACAATTGTTTATAATAAAATTATTCACCAATCGATAGACTCATAATGATTGTAAACAATGTTTTTGTTTGAATTTGTGTTTGACCAATTTTAAAAAAAAAAAAACGAAAATTAAGACATGCAATCCAAAAACCTTAAACAATAATCTTTGTCAATTTTATTTTTCAGTCTTTATGATGGTCGATACTTTTCTATCTCTTATTGTTACATCCCCGGCAACGCCGGCTCTACTTTTAGTAGTGAATAAAATTTCAGAGTTCAGGCACAGATGTTAGGAGTACAGAACTGAAACAGACTTTAGAAGGAACCAGAAATCTAATCCTAAACAGGAAACAAGAGATAAACCTCTACTCTTGTTCAAAAGAGTGTGAACCAGACAATAGGCTTGAATTGTTAATATGTAACAGCTTGGTACCTTTGGTGAGCCTTCAAACAAAGAAAATAAGCTACTAAAATAGCTGAAAGAGTGATTACCATTTTATTAACATGAACGTAAAAACACAAATAAGGCATTGAAAGATGATTTTATGTTTTCTATGTTAGACATGGCTTCTATATTTTGTCCTTTTGACTTCCTAAGTATCTTTCCTCCTCTATATCTGGCTTTATGCTGCTTCATGAGCAAGTCTGAAGATTTGTGAATAATATGTATTCTACCTCTCGTGTCTGAGGCTTCAACTGACTTCTAAGCTAGACCAGAATGCTTATTAGCTTATTAGCTTGGGTCATGTGACCAACATGTGACTACACTAAATTTTGCTTTGTAGCACCAGAATTTTTTCATCTGTTTTTACATTTTAATTTTTAACTCTTTCATAGTTACATGGCTCATCTGATAAAGATGAGTTGTGTTGCCATAAATATAATTAGTTCAAGTTCAGATTGAGAAATCATCAACTCATTTCCTTTAAAAGAAAAGAAAAATAGTTCATATGTTGTGCTAGGAATTTATGAAAGATTCTAAAAGAAATGTAATCATTCCATTTCAGTTACTTTACAGACATCCAATTTCAAAACACTAAGTATGAACAGTGTTGTATTATTCAGGACATGAAGTTCTAAAATTGGCAATCAAAATTCTTGTCATTTTGTTTCCCAGTTGTGATGAATCTACCATACATGTTTGTTGAGTACAGTTTTCACTTCTCTAGATTTTGAGAAAATACATGCTTTTTCCATTACTACTGGCACTAATACATTTAAACACTCATAAAATCTGCAATACTCAAATGCTATCCCATTTGATTATTGATTGAGTGATTTGTTTTTTATGGCTTATCAACACTTTGAAGGTTATTTAAAGCCAGAAAATATTTTTAGACTGTAAGAATTTTTTTTGAGATAATAATGATTTAGTGCTACAAGTCATACTAATTAACCAATAACTGGAATATGGGAGAAGAGGTGGATTCATACCTTTCCCAAGGGTATTTGCATGTGAGTACAGGTTGAGTATCCTTATCCAAAATTCCAAAATCCAAAAGTTTTTCAGGTGCTGATATGACTTGCCACAAATGGAAATTTTCAGAAAAAACTGGGAATGTTCCTAGGTTACATGCAGTATTAGATTTTTAATGACTTCCACATGACAAAAAGAGACAATTGAACAGTTTAAAGATATTTCATATACAATAACATACACATCAAAAGTCATGAAATGAGACAGTTGCTAAAAAATGTGATTTTATCAGGTATAGCCAAACAATAGGGCAGATTCCAATACATTTTAGTTAGAAATAGTTTGATACACCTGTCATTGAAACGAGGGTTGTTTGTCTTGGAATTTGGAATGTTCAGACACATATCTTTTCTTGAGAAGTGGACCTTCATGATAGTTACTGGCTTGGGTACCATTCCCCAGAGTCAGCTAAAAGTCATCTATCTCCTTCAAGATCTTGGACTGAACTAACTTAGTGTTCGTAATTACACACCAAATCTTATTGGGCAAAAACTGGCTTATACCATTAAAAGTAGATAATAGACTCTTCCAATGGCAGCAGGAGCAAGGGGAGATAACCTATTTTTTTATAGCAGCTGTTTTAAGTGACCTTATCATTCCTGGGTGGGGGTTCCCCAGTTCAGTTTTTTGTTAATGATTGTCACAGCAACACCTTCGTTCGTGGATTACTTACCTGGTGTTTTGTGCTCAGTAAAGATATTATTCAAAATGTCAAAAATTCCTCCATTTATATATTTTTTGTAAGTACTGATTATGTTTTTTTGTACATGTATAGTAAGTACAAATCATTATTTTATGTGAACTCTTAATTCACCACTTAAAAATCCGTGCGAGCATTACGACTAGTGTCATTACCTGTATCTGTATGGACACAAAATTTATTAAATTTTATATAAAACTACCTTCAGTGTATATGTATGAGCTGTGTTATGAAATGTAAATGGATATCATGTTGGGTTCCATTCCCTAGCTGCCCCATTTTATAGATTCTATATACAAATTAAATTGCCTGTATTCCACAATTAAAAAAAAATCTGAAAGCCAAAGCACTTCTGGTCTCAAGTATTTTGAATAAAGGATTCTCAACCTGTATAATTGTTATAGTGGAACACACCTATTCTATAGTTAATAGACTCTCCCACCTATAATAAGTAGTAGTAGTAGGAGTCAGTCAGAGAGTTGGTCAGTCAGTCAATGTCGGACGACCGTTAGTCGGATACTAAAGTATCAGTGACCATAAGTAGATTTTCTTCTGTGTCATTACCTATTATATCAAGTTCCTAAAGTTCTGTACGTCGAACCTATTTTAGGACCGACTTAGTACAAATACAAGCCTGCACTGTGAAACCACTCCATAACAATAATGAACACAGCTGTAATTGGAAACTGGATCTCTCATTAACAATTCCAAGTAATTATCCATTACACCACCCACACATCCAAGCATACAGCACCTGGTATTCTTAAGAGGTTACCCATCTAGGTACTAACCAGACTTGACATTCCTTAACTTTGGTGATCATATAGGAACCAGTGTCTCAACATGATATGGCCATAAGCTGCTCTCCTATTTGAAAAGTTCTGAATATTTGAGCACCATTAAAAAAAGCAAATAAAAACTTTTGTGCTAATGAGAATATGGTTTTCTCATGACCTAGAAGTTGAATTACACAGGGATGCATGCCATTAGCCTGCAGAATTGCTTGAATGAAACTTTCTTTATTCCTAGACAAAACACTGTCACCATTGGCACAATAATATTTTAAATCAGTTATATATTATATCAACACAGTACAAATTCTTTCTTTTTTTAAACTTTGAATGGAATTACAAAACAAGAAGTTCCAGAGATTGTGACATCTTCCAACAAAATTCAAAGCAAGTCACATTGCCGGTCATTTTATTTAAAAAAAATTTTAACAACAATTTTTTTTTACATTAAACATTTTTCATTGTAGATTAGATGTTTTTTTTTATTTAAATGTATTTTTAAAATTAGATTTTTTTAATTAAATGTATTTTTAAAACTTAGATGTTTTTATTGGCTTAAAAACTACATAATTCTCTTACCAATTTTATATTTATAAAACATATATACATCAATGTATATATATATTATTTTCCTTATTAGCTTGTAATATGAAGTATCATGGGAAGATTTTTTTACTTTAGTAGTTTATCTAATCTACTTCATCCATATCTATTACAAACTAATACATATTAGCATCAACTTGGCTACAGGAACTGCAGGAAAGAAGTCAAAGCCGGCATTCCATTTTGCCTTAGAGGTTCTATTCTAATTAGAATTCAGAGTTGTCCTTCTCCTAGGTTGATTGCCAACTAGTTAGAGAGTCCAGTCTACCCAAATATTTTACCTGTAGCTTGCAAGAGTTCGTGCCTTTCTTAATTAGTGTAAAGTGAACACTCAGTTCTCAGCTGAAATTTGAAAACAGCATGCTGATTCCATTTTCTTTGCTGTTAACCATTAGGTCAACCACAACTCCTTTTCATTGCATATGTATGTGTGTGTATATGATTATACACATATCAGTCCCTTTATTAGGCATACTCTTCTAGTACCAGATTGAAACTCTTTATATATTTAGAATTGTCTCAATTCTTCATGACAAGGATTTGACAATGTTCCAGAAGCACTCTTCTAAAATTTAGGTCCATTCTGTTCTTATGACATCCTACAATTCTACCAGATTGGTTGGCTGCACCTCTTGAATTAGAGTCTCCCTTTCCGCCACATCCCAAATATGCTCTACAGGATTGAGATCTGGTTGCTTAAACATAGAAAACTCATTGCTGTGTTCTATAAACTAATCTGCCACTATTTCTTATTTGTGACATAGTGTTATCTTACTGGAAGTAGACATCAGAGAATGGATGCATGATAGACATAAATTGAGGCACATGGTCAGCCACAATACCTAGGTAGGTTGCAGCATTTAAATGATTTTTATTGGTATCAAGGGTCCCAGTGATTGCCAAGAAATTATTCTCCATACCATTACACTTTCACCATCAGCTTGAACTATTGACACAATGCAAAATGGAGCTATACTTTCATGTTGTTTACACCAAACTCTGACCCCACCATCCAAATAACATAGCAGAAATTGAAACTCATCAGATCAGGCATGTTTTTCCAGCCTTTAGTATACAATTTTGGTAATCCTTAGCAAATTGTACTCTCAATTTCTTATTCTTATCTGACACCGAGCATGGTACTGACCATAGTCTTCTGCTTCTGTAACCACTGTTTTTGAATACCTCCATTGTAAAGAGTGGTTATTTGAGCTGCTGCTGCCTTTCTATTAACTTGACTCAGTCTAGCTATTCTCTTTTAACCTATTGCATAAACAAGGGATTTCTGTCTACATTATTGCTGATCACGGGAATATTTTTCTTGTTCGGATTATTCTCTGTAAATCATAGAAATAAGTATGCATAAAAAATCTTAGTAGATCAACAGTTTTTAAAATATATGCCACACTCAAATCACTAATTTCTTTCTTTCAAATACTAATACAGGAGATGAAATTCAGCAGGTTGCCATGCCCATGTTTAAGTGCTTATTATCCATTAAGTTACTGCTATGTTATTAAACAGTTATAAATTTGTATAAAAATACATTTGTTCAGATGTACTTATTAAGTGAATGTGTCAAAATAGATAAATAGATAGATAGATATAGAGAGTTTGGACAAAGGAATCAACACTGCATGTTGACTGTCAGTATATTTTTCTTTCCTGAATATTTATACGAAATAAAATATACAAAAACCAAAACAAATATGCTAAAGGGTGCAGTAGGAAAGAAAAATATACAAAACAAATAAATAAAATAATAACAAATAAATAAATGCATAAATAAAAGAAGCAATCTGGGGGTTATGACCATAAATAATCCTAATCATTAGCCTTAAATGAAAGAACTGGAACTGCTGAGTTTTCTTAATCCTCTACTTCCCTTATTGCCTCAGTGACCTATATATACAGCCAGCTAAAATGGTAGTGGCATTTGGTCTAAAGATTGCATTGGGACATGAAACAGATAGTCACCAAGCAGTGTTGATTCCTATGTCCATACAGTCTATATTTATAATGTCTAGCTCTGATATTGAACCCACTTCTTCTGTAAATTTAGCAAGTTTTAAACTCTGTGTGTGTGTGTGTGTGTGTGTGTGTGTGTGTGTGTGTGTGTGTGTGTGCGTGTTATTTTTTTGTTAGAAATGGCTTGCCAAATACTTGGAATAGCACCAAATATCTTCTCTAAAGATATCCATGAATATCTCAATATGTCTGAAAGTATTTACAAACTATAAGAAAAACATCTTTACAAATAAAACTGTCCTATCATATTTTAGATCTAAAGACGTGCGTATGTTGCTTTTAAAAGAACAAATAATTAAGAATTTTCAATAAAATGAAAATTAATTCCTTGCAACTTATTTTGAAAAAAACATATAGATTGCAATGTTATTGATCCTGACCTGGCATCTCGACTTCAGTCACTTTTCCACAGTCATAACGTAGCTTCCCTGTGCCTTTTCTATAAATATTTTCATGGTAATTGTTCTGATGAACTTTCCTCTATGGTACTTAAACTTTATGAATTTAAGTGTAGTACTAGATTGGCAGCAAGGTTTCATCATTTTACAGTGGAAATGGCTGAGATGCAACTGTAAGTTTATGCTACCAGTTTCTTCTCTCACACTTCTCACTTGTGGAACTTTTTTCCAGCTTCTTGCTTTTCAGTCAATTCTGATCTTCAAAGATTTTAATTCAATGTCAATTTTTATCTTCTGTTTTCTTAATTCCTGTTCTTCTCTTTCCTTAATAATGTTTTTCTTTCTCATATTCTGTCACACTCAGTAACCCCTTGGATCTTAGTGGCTTTATTACTCTGCTTAGGGTGAAATGATTAAAAAAATATGTCATTTGAATTTTCTACTGAATAAAATGAAGTTCAATAAAAAACCAAACCAAACCAGGGGCACTTGATAGAATAAACAGAAAATGGTAACTAAATACCATACAAGTATATCAGAAGACTGTTGGTATATGTGCAAATAGATATTTCACTGGTTGTAACAAGACTCTATATATGGCAAGATCAGATACTACACAAGTATAAAAATAAACAAAATTTAAATAGTTTCATAAGATTTCGAATATTTAGGTTTCTCTGTATGAAGGATGAGTCACAAGTTGATAGACCAAAGAAATAATAATCCTGGGTATTTTAAACATGCTGAATGCTTGAAAACAAAGCCTCTCTATTTGAAAACATGTGAGCAATATTTAGCAGCTAACTTAATATAAAGTACAGAACATGATGTTAGAGGCTTAGATTTAAAAATGGATGAGTTTCTTTAATTTCATTGCATATCATTTACATTTTACTGTACCATATTTCTCCACAGTATACTTGGTATAATTCTAGACACTTATGCAACAAAATTATCTTATAATACTTAAAATTCATTATATTTGATGTATAAAATAACCATCTACTCATTACAGTAGCATAGTAAGCATGTTAACCGCATAAGTGATAAAGAGTTTGATCTTCATTGTGGCTGCATATTATGACCTTGGATTAATTTTGCTAAATAAACAGCCCAAAATGTGAATTGCAAATTGGAGATACCAGATTCAAGCAAATACAAAAAATTTAAATCGTGGGAAGTGTTTTAACAGAGGATGGAAAATGTGATACTAAAGTCTGAAGGTGTATTGGGATAGCAAAATATGCCTTCCAAAAGTTAAGCAAAGTATTAAGAAACAAGAAAATTTCATTAGAAACAAAGAAAAGAGTACTGAACTGTTATGTAATATTGGCCCTCCTTTATGGTAGTGAATGTTGGGCAATCGCATCACAAATGAGGAAGAGACTTGAGGCAACAGAAATGTTGTTCTAGAGAAGGATGCTGAGAATACCATGGACTGAACATGTGAGCAATGATAAAGTTTTACAGATAATAAAAACAAAAAGGACATTTATAAGTCTGGAGAAGCATATATTTTCTACAAAATTTCCTGAACATTCAGGTTGGTAAATGTAATTAATACTGTTTATTTAAAAAATAGAGCATTTACTTAAATAAAATTGTATCTCTTAAAATAACATAAAAACAGAAAATATATTAAATACTTGTTGTACTTAATCCATTTCATAATATATATATATATATATATATATATATATATATAGGAAGACAGTCAGTTAAGTGCCATATGTGATGCACACTTGGGTGATCATGTATGTTTCGATAGTAGATCCCAGAGTAGGTTGCCATTTCTTTCTCCCATAGACTGGTTGCCATTCAAGGCTAAAGGACCCAGTCTGTCCTGCTATTCAACCCATAGCTGAGAGGAGAAGTGCACAAGTGAATCCAATGAACTCAACTGGAATTTGAACTCAGCTCTCTGAATTCTCACTCCAAGCCAAAATCCATCACATCACAATGCACATCTGTATATAGGAAGTGCTATACCAAATTCAGAAAATTTTATAATGTTGACTATGAAAATAAATTTTCTTG